GTCACCACAGTCTTGTCAAAATCATCAGCAAAAATTAGATCAAGCATTTCACCAGACGCATTATGTATTTGGTTAATTTGCTGTAATTCTAGGAAGTACATGGTGACAATTATGCTTTCAGCAGTTTGATTTACATTGGAAGGTACCAATGTGTCATCCTCATATATCCATCTGATATCTGGTAAATTAAAATCTCCACTAGGTAATGTCAAAATCGCGTCAGATTGATAAATCAGTAGTGAACATAATAGATTATTTAATAAAATGTTAAAGGAAGAAAATATTTGTTTGCTAAAATGGTTTAGCATATGCTTAACAATGACGAAAAGGCAAGAGAAACTGAAATGATACCATAAGGTGAGACAGTTCGAGCAGTTGCCCTAGGTTCTGGCAGTAGCACGATCATGAATTTAAAGAAAAAAATAAATCGGCAAAGGTTAAAATATTACCTACACCACTGCACTAAATAGATTTATTGGTTAGAATTTTGACTTAATACGAAGGATCAGTGGCGTAACTAAGGGCCCTCAGGGCCCGCAGTTGCGGGGGGGCCCCGTGACCTAGGGAAAATACTTAAACCTAACCTTTGAACCTCATAATACATGAAAACCATTGAAAAAGTATGTCTAATCAATGTAAGAGATCTCAGAGAGAAATGTTTAGACACATAGGCGCCGGAACCATGGGGGCAATGGGGCTTGAGCCTCCGTTGTGATTTTGGCATTGTATGTAGTGGGTATAGTGAGTAGGTACAAAAATATTGAGTTCCTGATCCTAACATTCCTAACTATTTATTTTTATATGAAAACCTGTGTGTTTTATGTTTTTGTTGTTTTTGCTATAACCACTTTGACAAACAGTTTGACAGATACCGATTACCCAACATAACCGATCTCTTGAAGAAGCTGGGACGCTGGCAGTATTTCACTGCCTTAGATTTAGCTAGCGGCTTCCACCAGATCTAGACAACGACATCAAAAAAAAACGCATTCAACACAGAAAACGGGCATTATAAGTTCTTGCGCATGCCATGCCCTTTGGTTTGAAGAACGCGCCGGCTACATTCCAAAGAGTTATGGATGATATTCTATATTCCAATATATTGAGCAACTTTAACACCAAAAGATGGAACATCCCATCAATAATAGTTATTCATTATACAAGGGAAAAAAGTATTAGATTTTAGAGCGAGATGTGGTCTGCCTCCCGTCGCGAAGCGGAGGGAGACAACAACAAGGTGGCTAAAAAGCACTGGGAATGCTGGAGGTGGAACAGGGGAAATCGTTATCTTTCGTTCTCTATTCAACCTTAGAGTTTTTCTAGACATTTCATTCTATTGCATTAAAATTGGCCTGTTGTTGACCTGGTCAAACCTGTATATAGGTAGTTCATTTTTTGGCCATGCCATTAGCTTATTTATAAGTTTGTTTCGAGCCGTGTGAAGGTAACATAACATGACACCATTTTGTAGAAAAAAAAGAATCTTGAATCTTTTGGATGAACACTTTTTTCTAAAGTTAATAGATTTTGAAATATTCATTAAATAAGTTTAATTTTTTTTTACATTTTCCCTTATATCTCGGAAACGAATAAAAACTTGGCAACCCTGTGTACTTACCTTCAATGGATACTAAAATCAATAAAATCTGCCACTTTTATCTAATTTAACCTACTTCGTCCCTTTTACCGGTTCGGAGATAGCAATAGTGGTATCACTTAAAACGGACACCCTGTATAAAGAAAAATTAGAAAGAAAAAAAAAATACATAAAAGATGGGCCCCGGGAAAATCCTTGCGGGGGGGGGCCGGATTTGAAGTTACGCCACTGCGAAGGATGGTAATAGTATATTACATGCCGAGGTGGAAAGTGTTTCATTACTGTCGGGAGATTTTAGTTAGACCGAGGCGCAGCCGAGATCTAACTAAAATCTCGAGACAGTAATGAAACTTTTCACCGAAGTAGGTAGGTATGTATACTATTTTATTTACTATCATTCGAATTTTGAAATTTTTATTTGAATTAAAACTAAAAAAATACAATAATTAACAATTTCATTTACTTTCGGCCCACGGGAGGAAAGTAAACTTTCGACCCGTGGGCCGAATGTAAAAGTCAATAAAGTGACATTTTCGCACTTTTTAAAAGTCAGTGAAGTCAACATTACATGTATGATTGTAAATAAAAGATTATTTGCCAATTGCAATGATTGCCACTGTACCTACATGAGAAAGATCTTGTAAACATCAGCTGGTGAGTTTGGTGGTACATATGCACATCCAATTACTAGATTAGTCTCAAGAGCGTCAAGCCGTAGGTACCGTACCCATGCATTTTCGAATTCCTTGAAAATTGGCGTTGAAATCAGGGAGGATCTCAAAACGCTACTTGCAGCTACAACTACTCCTTCACCACGTTGAACGTTGAGTTGGTCGTAACTTCTGTCTCGTCGAAAGACTGTAAAAATGCAGTCAAAAAGTTCGGAGTTATGGAATGAACTGTTTAGCCAGGTCTCGGAGAAAACAATAATTTCGAAGTCGCAAGCAGTCGTAGATCTCGATAGTTCATCGATCTTTGTACGTAGGCCTCGTACGTTTTGATAATATATGGTAACTAAGTTGTTAGATTGGTGGACGGATTCGACGACGGTTGTAGAAAATCCGTGAGCGGCGTTGATGGCGGAGGATCGGTGGATTTAGAAGTAGTTGAAAGAGAACTTCCGCTTGGCTTCTTAGTTAGTGAGTGGTAGGTAATCATATGGTAAAATTGTTGGGCTAAGTTTAATTTATCGTAGTAATTTGAAATACTATTATTCACCAAAGTCAATAAGGGAAGAAACTGAAGAAAGTGACAATTGTTCGATTGTTCGACGATTGTGTTCAATATAAACGAGTTTTACTCGTGAATAAAACGATTTAGGATAGGTCTTCTGAGATGGAGGGGGAATCCAAACATAATAATGTTAGTTTTCTGACTAAGCTCGCAAAGTTTAAGAATACTAGCCTTTTGAGGTGTTTGCCCAGTAAACGCGTTTTCAGATCCCTGTATAAAAATAATAAAATCTTCCTTGGTGAAAGTTTTCGACGATGCTACACACAGTTCAACCCCTTGTTCAAAATTTAGGCGATTCTTTTATTGGTTATTGATGTCAGTTTTCTGAAAATGTTTCTTAATGAGACCGTGCAAACCCTGAATATTTTTGTCCCCGACTATTAATAACTGACGGTACTTGTGGAATGTGATTGGATTCGCATGATTTCTGATAACTGTTCCATTAGATGTTGATAGAGATGTCTCATTTACCAATATTTTTTTCAAAAGGGAGGGTCTATCTCGAAGGCTACCCAGTCCATTCTTAAGGTTTTCTATTTCGTCCCGATAAGATTTGATTTCAATTTCCAAAACCCGAATGAAGTCTACCATGTTCCTGTTCATGCTATTCAATTTATTAGTATATTTGTTCAATTTTTCCATCGTTTTTTCAAGATCAACAATTTCTGCTTTGAAGTTTACACTCATAGCTTCGTAATCCTCAATTTCATAGGATTGCTTACTTAACAATAATTTCAAGTTCTCTATTACTGAATCATGTTCGTCGTTCTGTGGCTCAATTTGTACTGGGCGATGTTGCATCTGACAAGAGATAGTTTGTTGTGAAGCCTCTCGTACAGGTTTGCAGCACTGAGTAGGTTTGCTGGTTTACCATTACTTGACTCTGCAATCTAATGATGATGTTATTTAATTCATTGATAGTTTTATTCTTAAGTTCAATTTCAGCTAGGTACTTTTTGTCCGCCTCAACAGCCTCATTCTCAATAGCACATTAATTTCTCTTACCTAAGTCTTTTTAGGTGTGCATCTTTTTGCTCTAGTTCCGTTCTAAGATCGTCAAAAGTGTTCTTTAGACATGTATCAGAGGGAAATGCAACGCTATCCAATTCCTCACTTGTGGCCTTCTTTGCATTGTCCAATAAATACAGTTGTATATTTTTTACTCCTGACAGCTAGGATGAAATATGCTGTTGCATACTATGCGACCTTACAACACCCAAAGCTGGTTCCCATGATGAAGTTTATCTGTCTATTTTTATTTTCTATCTATATTGAGTAAATCACCATCAGAGTTGAAAATAATATCACAGCCAGTTCGTGTGCACCCGGACTACAGTAGGTTTTAAATTTTAATATTTTGTTTATTAACTCTGGGACATGAAAAGATAAGCTCGCTAGCAAAAAATGTCAGGAGATAAGTCTTTTGTTATTTCATTTCAATACAGAGGGATACTTCAACAGTTTTCCAATTCATCGGAAAATGGTTCAATTTTCACTCATGAAAGTTTTACACACAAAGTTCACACTCTCACCTACATAACGATATTCAACACATCAAAAAAACACAACTTTAAACTTGTCAATTTTAAAATTTCAATGGAGCCCATATGAATGTGTATTTTTATTTTATTCATTTTTTATATTTTTGCTTAGGTACCGTGCGTGTGGTTTTCGCAGAAAATCAGATTTAAATGCCTTGGCTGCAAAAACCAGCCGTCTAGTGCTTTTCTGCCTGGAAAAACAAATAATTATTTCATTTCATCACGAGTAAATGAACAGAGGCTGGACAAACCTCAAATAAAACAAATCACTAGAAAACTGTTCATTTAATAAAAAAATATAAATGTATTACATGAAAATATCTTACAGCTAAACCGATGAACATAACATAGATTAAACATTAATAATTGAAAAAATATTTCGGTTGGGAAAACAATGTTGTGTGAAAAATTCTAACTCATTTCAACCATAAACTAATAAAATTATTAATTTTTATAAAAATAAAAAAGTACATCGAAATTTCTCACTATCTCACAGCAAATATTACATATAAATAGCTAAACCTTATCGACACTACATAAACCAAACATTTATAATAGAAAACGTATTAATTACACATAACATTGGGAAAACAATAGAAAAGAGTTTCCAAACAAAATTCTAGCTCAATTCAACCATAAACTTCACTTTCAGCTTCATTATCTGATCCGTTAATAATATTTTCATCGTCATCATCGTCGCTGGGCAACTGATCATTATCGATATCAGTAGGATCTTGACTTGAAGATGCCACTGTACTTTGACTGATAATATCTTCACCTTCAATATTACGATTTTTCAAATTTCCCACCCAAATAGCCGTGGAAAGATCATTAGCTACTAGAGCAGCTTTCACTCTGAACGTTAAGCACTCTCTTGTATGAGTAAACGATGGGATGTAAGCAACTAAGCTGGCGTCTCTAGTTTGTTTAGCTTGGCAGCATAAATAATTCAAAAATCTTGTACTGGTTTGAATGGTTTTTAGAATAACAACCACTTCTTCTGCTTTGTGTTTCAACATTATTTCCAATATTGGCATACCGCTGGCTAGGAATATCTTCAAAACTTGTGTTGTTTTTTTTAAGAAACACAAAAAAATACTGCGGTTTTTTAACGTTTTTGCTATATTCATCAAGTTTGCCAAAATTTCAGCAGCCGAACGCCACAACACTAAATGGCCAGAGTTTGTAAGGGCTTGAATTTCGATTTTTATCGTTGCCAATAAGGCATTGCACAATCCTGCAAAAAATACATGGAAATTTTTGTTAAATATAGCAGGAAATTTATTCAGGCAGCCATTTCTAGGGTTTAAAGCTTCAATGTCTTCGACTAAAATTTCAACAAGTGCTAAAATAGATTCCACATTAAAATTATCTAAATAAGCTTTAACTAAGATGTCAGTGTTTTGATTACAGTCGCGACCTTGGTCTAACTTTCCTTGAAAGTCGTACCAGCGTTTTTTCAAAAACGTTTCAGCGACTGTAGAAATTTGCTTTTTATTTTCGCTGGCACTCAATGAATTCAAAACATCCATTATTTTTATCAAACTTGCCCCATGGCTTAATTGTAAGCAATTTGGTGTATATTGGACAATTTTATTGACAAAAGCTACAATTGGATCTCTAGGATTTTGGCTGCAAGAATCTCTAGCACTTTCTAGAATGTCTTGCAATAGATGACTGTTATTGGTATTCTGGAAGCCCGGCCATTGAAAAATTAAATAGAAAATTTGCAAAATACTACCAAAGCAAATTTGAATATCAACAGCTTCCTCGGAGTAAGGGGCATCTTCTCCAAACTCATTTATTTTCTTAACGATAATTTCCAAAAACTTATTCAAATTTTTAACAATTCGAACACAATCGTGCATCAAATAATCAGCTTTAACATCATTGAAGTGCGATAAATTTACATTTTTATTTGTTTGCGTTAACAATGTTAATTTTTCAATAAAATCGTTTAAGATAAATTTTATTTGTTGTAAATTTAACGTCATATTCTCTTCAGTGTCCATACTATCCAAATTCAGAGGATACTTGATTAAAAGCACTAAATCAGTATCCAGTTCTCTAAACTGAAGTTTCTGAGCTTTTACTTGAATTCCTTTCTTTTTATTCTTGACCAGTTGTGTATCATTAATTTGAGTTTCAGTTATCATGGAACTCTCATTATTTACTATTGTATTTGACTTGGCTACCTTTTTACGAGGATTTTTAATTGAGGGTTCACTTCTTACTAATTGCTTACTAACAATTTGAGTTCCATCAAAATAGCTTAGAGGTAAATTATGCCCAGGTATTTTTCTCAATAACCCATGTAATTTATCTTCAACGTCTATTAAATTATCCAGCCGCTTGATTACTCTTTGTTGTATTACAGTATCTTTTTCAGTCACAAATGCGCTAATAGTTTCTCTGAACCAATTGATGCAGTGGAAAAGACAATCAGCAACTAATTTGATTTGTTCTATGTTCAAATTTTCAAAATCTAAATTTTCCTCTGGCAAAATTATGCCACAACCTAACAAAGAGTCGATTTGCAATAAATTACCGTGTTGTCTAAAGTGCAGCAAACGTAAAACTCTAAAATACGGAGCTAAAATTAATATTTTATCATTTTTCTGGTACATGGTATAGCCGCCAATATTTACTGCTAAAGTTTCGACAAGTTCCTCAGGTTTGTTAAGCATGAATTGCATTGTTAAACCAACAACTTGAACAGTTTTCGGTCCCAAATAAACTTTTAGGAAGCTTTTCTCAAAATCCTCATGGACTTTTTTGTACAGCCAGTATAAAAAGTACTTGTCAAAAATCTTTTCGCTGGCTAAAATTGAAGCCAACTGATCGTAATACAAACATTGTTGTTCAGAATTTTCGCTTGTGGCGCAATTAACTAACTCCAATAATTCTACAGCTTCTTTATTCGGAATTGGTCGCTGATCCAATTCATCTAAAGTCAATTCTCCTTGATATATACTAACTGAAGCACAATGCTTTACCATAGTTATGGCACTAATAATTCCAGTAAGTCTTACACTTCTTTCGTAACAAGACAATTGCTTTCTTATAGTATTGAAAATTTGATCTTTGAATCCTGACAAAAAATCCTCTGCTTTGTCTCCACAAAGCAACGAGCATAAAATATCAAAAGTGATTTTTATATCTCTATATTTCATCGTATCAATCTTTTCTAACAACTGCATTAATAAATTTATATGTTTTTGCACTTTTTTCGAATCAATGTCTACTAAAGACTTTATAAGCTTTAGCAAAGTATTTGTGGTGCAATCATCATTAGACCCGGTTAAAGATATTAAGCTGGATAAAATTTCCCTTCCAGAAATCGGCCCCACATGAATATTGTTAAACAACAATTGAAATAAGTTAGTCGCAAATTTTGCCACCAAAGTGTCTTTCGCGTATCCTAACAAGCAACTACCGATATCAATAATATCTGCCAAGTAATTCTTAAGAAGCTGTGGTGTGAAATATTTTTCAAAAAATTTCTCCAATAAATTTAGTTTAAATAATCCCAAAGAAACTCGTTTTCTGAAAATAGCCTCGATAACTCTTCGTCTATTGTCAGATGATTGATGCAACATAAATATTATTAATAAATCGACTGGTTTATGGTCGTAAGAATGATTAATATTTGAAATTAAATTCAACCAACCATCGGCCAGGGTTTTTTTTATGGAAGCTGATCTTTGAAGATAACGAAAAATTAAAATTATTTCAGAGTCTTTGTCTGTGCCACTACTTTCTATAATTCTGTCCAAAGAGTTTCGTATTTTCAACAAAGTTGGCACCATATTTAGAATTTTACAATCACTCAGTAAAAACTTAATCAAAATCAAATAATCCTTCAAGCACACATTTGCTGAGATTTTAACTAAAACCCTATCATTGATTTGCTTTTTTGTTTCTGTGTCTACATTCAAAGCTGATAAACAATCAACTAAAGCTCCGCAAAGTTCACCATTTTCGTCAAACAATTTTGTTAATTCTTTTGCGGCAAAGTCACACTGATTATCAGGTAAAATTTCCGGAAAAGCTCCTAGAATCTCTAATCTGCAAGTAAACGAAGATATTTCTAGAATATCCAAAAGCTTTTTGGCTAGGAATTCAGAGTTTTTTACTGTCGGTAAAAACCTGAGCGGTTGAAGTAAAGTTCTCAGCCACGAAGTGTCTTCTGTGTCCTCTATAGCTGCATCTGTTACATTATCTAGAAGTAGTTCCATAACTTCATCTTGAAGATGGGGGATTTTAAGGAATATGCTGAAACAATATATTGATAACCGATATTTCAACTTTATAATGCAACCTCCTACCTAATAAGACTCTCCTGATAAATCCAATCATTCTCATCATCGGTTTTTCTAAATTCTGTTTGAGTTAGGAACTTTTTCAGATGCTTCTCTTTTTTACATAAATATTTTAAGCCAATCGAAAAGTTTTTAGAGCATAGTTGAGTATCTTTTGATTCAAAATACTTTGTAAGTTCCCTTACAACTAAGGCTTGTTCTCGTTCTAATATATGTGTTGGCTCGCTAAGGCTAAGAGTGAGTTTTACACCAACTTTTGCCTAAATTGATTGAGTTTCAATGAGTAAACAAATTATTTTGTGTGCCTTCTTTCACTTACCAAAACTATTTTTAACTCCTCGGTCAAGTGCAATTGGGATAGTCTTTGGGATGGCTGGAAAGTGGGTGAAATATTACCTGTATCCATTCTTGCCATACTACTTTGCTAGTAGTTCAAGTTCAACTAAACGTTTTATTTTCTTTTCACAATAATTACATTACACTTGTCTCGGCAGTCGGCACTTGCATCAACTTGTACAGTTTGTTTTATTTTGATTACTTTTTCAATTTCAAATTCGAATTTCCTTTCTGTCGACTGTCAATGCTGTGTCATACTAATTGGCGTTTGACATACGGATGAAGTCGGCGACATGTCAACGAATTCCATTTCAAGAATGGACCTTTCCTGTGACCTTTCTCATGCAATGAACAACAAGGATAGTTTAGTAAGATTTCTGCAATAAAGAAAGAGTCACATATAATGACACGCGTCACATATGACACGCGATACCTGTGTGGAATGACTTTGATTGAATCCACTTGTCAAATTGTGCAATTTCGGTTATGTTTCTGTTTTTGTTTATTTTTAAACGTAAATATGAGGAGTATGTATCAACAATAATTAGAAAAAAACCCACCGTTGGACAAAAATGTTTGCAGCAAACCTTTAAATTGTACAATTATTATTGTATTTGATATAGAAATCGTTATTTTACGAACCCTCAAATCTCTGTCCCAACTTAAGTCGTCTTCATTCGGGTTGAGAGCACATAATCATTGTTTTCCTACAATTTGATTGCTTGGGAACTTGTGAAAAGAAAGGTTTGACTTCTTTTTCGCCCTATTCTAACAAGATCTCATACAACACATTTGAACCATTGTATTATAAACAGTTTTTGTAATAATTTTCAGCAATACTGATTGATATTGATTGATTATTGAGGTTAGCTGAAATACGTCAGGGTCAGACCGCGTTCAGTAAATGGACAATTTAATTATCTGTCACCCACAAGCGGCGCGCGCAGCACAGGTAAAATGAGAAAGGTCCTCAAGTTAAATTTGACGTTTGATATTTTATCATTTACAGGCCGATTCGCAATCGGTTCGGCCTTGGTTGGTTCGGATGTGACAGAAGTTGCTTGACATCTTTTGAATTTGGTCTGTCAAAAAAGGCGCCATGTTTTAAGGTTATAAAAGCAAACCGAAATTCAAACCAAAATTCGAACCAACTTGCGAAGCTGGTTCGAATTTAGACGGACCAAGCGATGCCTGTCACGTCACCGATTTGCAATCGGAAATGGTTGGTTCTAATTTGGTTTGCCTTGATGACGGACCAAAGCGAATCGAAAACAGCCATTGCAGAACAAAAACGTCAAGTCAAAACGTCAGAATTTCATGAGAATCAAATGGATAATTTAAAAATTTGACATTTCACAAACTGCTTGCTCTCGGCAAGCAGCTCGCCCAAATTTAGGGCGAATCCCCACGGGCGTAGTTAGCGCAATCAGCGTGAACGTCAATTCTACGCGAATTTTGGCTCGACATCCCGCATGTAGTGCATCAAAACCAGAACAAAAACATTTTCTAACACAAATATCTTGTTTATTTTTTGCCAGGTTGTAATGAAAATTTACTTATTTGTTGTAGTCCTTTTCCTTTTATTTTCTGTGATTGTTCTATCATAAGTGAGTAGGTAAGTTCGGCTTGGCAACTCTTTCGACTCCTTTGAAACTTTTCACTGCAAAATCGTTCGGGTCGGGCCACTGGGAGCTAATAGTGGAAGCTCCACATCGTTTTTGTACAGCCAAGTAGAGTAAAAATAATTAACTCCATATCCATAAGCTCCACCTCGCGAGATGAAACTCGAGAAGCGAGCATGCGCACTTCCTATATTCCCAAAAGGCGTAAAATTTAGGTATTCAATATCCTATAACTTAAAGAATTCAAAAAAGATTTTTTTTTTGCTTAGGGCTTGGTTGCTCCCTGGGGATCCTGGTAGAAAAAATGGCATCGCTCCCCAAAATATCCGCAGAAAAACATGTTCCGGTTTGTGATGGGGATAAGCATTCGGGGGCCGCAGCATTTCTTCATTGGCCGCGGCTCGCCTTGCTCCTAATGCGTACGACTAACCATTTTACTCTTTTCGCTCTGTGTTCAGGTTACTATGAAACTGCTCTTTATCCGCCCCAACTCCGTTCTGCCAAGCTGAACTCACCTCATACATTACGTCACAAATTTGCCACGATTACGCCGAAAAGTTCAACAAAACCCAACTTTTTGCCGTAGCGGCAGGTAATGTCAAAAATTCAAGATGGCTGCATTGCCGCCAATGAAATCGTACAAATTAAATCACATGATTAGTTACGCTCATGTTGAAGTGAACTTCAAATTTATTTCAATGTAAATGGATCTGTGCTGTCGCCATATGGCAACAATGAACTATAACCAAAAACTGGAATGCTAACACATAAGGACGAACGTGAAGCCTAGTGCGGCTGCTGCGGAGGGGATACCTGTTTTTGTCGCACTCATTATGTTAAATGGCGAAAATTGCTTCCAACACGTATTCCAATTGATGACACCTGTGAAGGGAAATATGACAAAACTTTCGAAAACGTCATATGACAGCGAGCAACAGAAAAAAACAACATTCCCCTTTGTGGCATCTGTCTTTCATGGCTACATTTTTTTGGCAGATATGGCAATGTGTGCGCATTCCAGTTTTTAGCTATAGTTCATTGTATGGCAAGCACGTCCATTTCAAGACAAATTGGACTTTGAAGTGAATGTAAATGAACCATTACACTACTAATGCCTGGGTCGAGTTCAGAAATAACGCATAGGGTGCGAGTGCGATTTTATGGGTGTGCCTGTATTGACAATTGGCCACTGGGCCCATAGCACCGTCTAGCATTTTTGAACAGCTAGGGCGTCGCACCGGTGTCACACTCACACTGGGTGTGTCATTCCTGAACTGAATTGCTTATCGGCCTAATTTTTGGTAATCGCCACCATATTGGTGTATCACCATTGTCGACGTCATTAACTAAGTCGTTAGCGACGTCAACTGTTTACGCCAGTGGTCGTAGCTTGGAATTTAAATTTTTGATGAAAAATATTATTTGCCCCCCCCCCCCCCCCCCCCCAGACGTCCACAAAACATCCCCCCAGGGGATGTTTTGTGGATTTAGCCGATTGAGCAATCCTGTAGAGTTAAGGTCAATCCTCACTTGCGCTTCACTCAGCTCGGCGACGCGACACGACGCCGCGCTGCACATTGTCGCTAGATAAAGATTTCATTGATTTAAATGAATAGATTCCTACACTGCACTACAATTTACATCGTGTCGCATTTAAACCAATGAAATAATTATCTAGCGACAATATGCAGCGCGGCGTCGTGTCGCGTCGCCGAGCTGAGTGAAGCGCAGGTGAGAATTGACCTTTAACGATTCTTGGGTTTGGACGTCATCTGGAAGCCTCTAAACATATTGAGGTAGAGGTAGCCCAAGAATCGTAAACTCTACAGGATTGCTCAATCAGCTAAATTTGTTCACAATTGCTGTGACGTCACGTGCATCCCGGATTTTCAAGATGGCCGCTGATACGAATGATGTTCAGTTTGTGCTCACAATTATTTTATCGTAAATTCGGATTTATCAAGTGTTTGTTATAAGTGTAATTTAATGTTTCATTTAATGTGTGTAAGCATAAAAGACTCGTGGCTGAAAATACTCGCGAAAACCCCAAGCATTTTCTGGTTTTATAATACTGGATTTGTTGTATCAGGACATCGCTTTCTTTTATTCGTGTGTATTGCTAGTTTTCTACTGTTAGTCTTTCCTAGTCAAGCATTTGTAGATATTGCTTTTTTTTTGTAAATCAAATATCTACTTAGTTGTAAGTTTCCTTTGCATGTAATTACTATTAGTGTTTATAAAGAGTGAATGAATAAATATGTAAATAAATTCCTTTACTGGCGCGTTTACTATGAAAACGCATGGAAAATATGGGAAACTTGCAGTGTAATATGATTATGAAAATCTAAATTAGGTAGGTATCACTATTTGGCTTTGTGAAATAAGCTTACTTTGAATGTCCCTATTAAATCGTTATAGTACCTATTAAACTATTGAATAATAATTAAAAATTAGTTAGGGGCAGTAAAAAATAAAACACACTATTGCAACCACGTTTCGCTTATATTTTGATATTATTGAAATGCAAAAATTAAGCCGGCTCGCTTACGTTGGTACCCCACATTTGGTTTTCTACTGTTTCTCAATTGTGTCCGTTTTGTGCTCAATTGTGCAAGTATTTATGCGAATTGTGCTCATTTCCATAAACAAAAAAAAAAACATTGTACCTAATTAAATCCGGGGGCCAGCTTGACTCCAGCCCTTTGTTGTTTTGACTTTTTGTCAATATATTTGGCTAATTGATAAACAAAAGCAAACAAACTCATCGTCTTTCTAATAAGCCAACCACTCAAGCCTCAAGGACACAAACTTTTGAAGTCTGCTAATTTTAAAATTAATAAATTAATTACAAAATACAGTTTTCAAAGGAAATAACCTCCAAATAACATTTTTTCACGTTTGAAAATGCAAGGAAAGTGCGCTGTCATAATAAAACACGAACCAATCAAGGACTGCCTGACGTCATTGGCATACCGTCATCTTCAATGTTTTTTATGAACGTTTGTCTTATGGGATTGAGCAATCCTGTAGAGTTTACGATTCTTGGAGGTAGCCTGAACACATATAGGGCCGGTTTCTCAATAAAGAGTCACCCCGGGTTAAGCATAACTCCATGGTAAACATTGCAACTGGACACGCTTCTGGAGTTGAAACCAACCCGGAGGTGACTCGAAACCCGCCCTTAGGGCCAGTTTCTCAATACAATGACTAGTTTGTGATTTCTGCAGAAACAGACCTAAAACCAACTCGGAACATTTTGAGGTGTGCTTCACAAAAATCACAAACCAGTCAGAACGTTTTTGATTGGTGTAAATCGCCAACAACCTTTCTGACTATTTTCAACCAATGAAATTCGCTCTGACTGTTTTGTGATTGCTGTGAGGACAGACCTTTAGGAACCTTGAGTTCACGTTTGTACTACGTCATCAGTTGCCTTCGTTTTTTTACCAAATAAAAG